GGTAGCTTTTATATGTTAATAAATACGAATGCATTTTTATACTTCTGATATAAAGAAAAAAGACAACGATATTCCCGCCAATATTTCTTCATTTTTCTCAAATTTCGTGATTTCATTGCAATTAATATTTTACTTTTATTAATTGGTTAAGATTCGTTGGGATGGTCCCAGCTTCGCAGAATTGGGCTATTTCCTACACCAACTATGTTATGACCTGATAATCTCGAAAGGGCAAAAAAATCGGTTCATCCGTTTGAGAGCTATAGTGCTACAGAAAGACACGCACAGAGACAAAGTGGTCAAAATTATTATAACACCTCCCTTCTTTGCGTCGGGGGTTAAAAAGAAAAGATTTATTAAAATCATATGTTTAGCTTTGTGATGGGGATAACTATTTTAATTTTATTTATTTCGCAAATCTCATTTCTCATATCTCACTTCGCACATCTCATTTCTTATTTCCCATTTCTCATATGTCATTTCCAATATCTGAATTCTTATTTTGCACAACTCATATCTAGTTTATCATATTTCACTTATCATTTCGCAATCCGCATTTCTTATTCGGCGCGTCTCATTTGTTAATAATTAATTCACACTGTGTGGTGTACATCGATTTTAATATATGTATTTAATTTATCATCACAAAGTTAATGACATCGTCTAAAAAATTTTGAGATTAATGAAAACTGATGAAGTTTGTACTGCATTTTAGAGTCATACTTAGAAAAAATATATGCGGCGTGTACTAAGCAAAATATTGAAATGACATCAACAAATAATTGGTGGGGATGATTAGACACGTTTTGATTAGCGCTTTACACTCTACACGATACTCCTAAAATAATTTTGGAAGCTTCTACGGTCGGAGTCAATATATGATCCTTTTCCAGGTTGGTATGGGGTCAATTCAGTTTTTGGGCACAACTTTTCGCACACTTTCTTCAGAAGCAGGCTTGAGAAATTAACAATAAGGCAAAAGAACACGGTAACTCAATGTGTCAACGATACCCAAGGGGAAACTCTTCTGACGGGAAGAATGTGATTGTAACCCTTTTATAGAGACGTGGTGGGAGAAATCGTCGTGGTCATAGAAATGTGGTGAATTTTCAAACAGAATGCTGTGACCGGTTTCATGTTGATGTTCAGCTACGGCAGAGCGAGACAGAAGACCTGTTTTAAGACAACGTTTGTGCTCTTGAATTCCAATTTTTATGGCCCGAATAGTTTCTCGTATATATTTTACACCACAGGAGCAGGGAATGCTGTAGCTTCCTCTACAGTCTACAGCTTGGCGAGAATCTTTGACGGAAGGGAGAATTTGTGAAACTTTAGTTGTAGGTTTGAAGACTGTTTTAAGAATAGGAGATACGAGATCAGTTGGGCGATTTGGAGTATTGTCAGAGTTGGAATTAAGCCGACGTTCAATGGCAGACTTGATAGTATGGTGCTCGTATCCACTTTGTTGAAGAGATGTTTGGAGATGTTCTAATTCTTTTTGGTGTTTGTCCGGTTGACAAATGGTAGTGGCTGGATGAATTAGGGAGTCAATGTCAGACCGTTTTTAGACGGGATGGTGATAAGACGTGTAGATATCTCAAGCTTAGATATTTCTCCGCGAGATCGCCAAGAAGTGGAGATTGTCCATCACTGGAAAGCAATTCACGGATTAATGTTAAGGACTCGGCTACAGAGACTTTTATGAATAAAGGTGTTACGTCGAAACTGACAATTTTATCTTCGGGGTCAAGAGAGATTTCGGAGATCAGTTGAACAAAATGTGAGGAGTTAAGAATATGTGAGGAGGTTTTCCCGGTATATCCTTTCAGAAGACGGACGAGATATTGGGCTGTATTGTAAGTGGTAGACTCTCAAGTACTGACGAGAGGTCAATTATTTTTGTGAATTTTAGGCAGACCGTATACACGTGGTGGTTTGTAGTTTTGGGGTATTAGACGTTTGAGTACATCGGTTGGGAAATCAAAAGAGTTGTGATCTCACGTTCAATACGGGAAGTTAGGTCGCGAGGAAGAATAGAATAAGAACTGTCTTGTAACAAGGAGTGTATTTTGTCCACGTATTGTGTTTTGTACAGAATGACTGTGGCATTGCCTTTGTCAGCGGGCAAGATGACTAGATCCGTATCAGTTTTAAGAGAAGTGGGAGCGGTCCTTTCTTCTTTGGATAGATTGGGTTTTGCCGTTGCTGAAAAGCAACATGAAACCAGTCACACCATTCTGTTTGAAAATTCTAAAGTTTTGCCCAAAGCACCACATTTTTATGATCGGAAAATCCGTGAAGCTATTGAAATCCACAAATGCCCTCATAATATCAACCGAGACAATGGTTATTATCTGTCAAATATTTGGAAGCCCACACTGGATGCAATTGCTCGTTTATCTAGCCCCACTCCGCCCGGAGTCGGCCAATCACCTTCGACCACGATGGTTTCCCCCACTACTCTCTATAAAAAAGGTCACAACCACATTCTTCCCGCGGGAAGAGTTTCGCATCTGGTATGGTTGACATACTGAGTTACCGTGCTCTTTTGCCTTATTTCTAATTTTTTAACCCTGCTCCTGAAGATGCCACCTACGAAAGTGTGCGAAACATTGAGCCCAAAAACCTAATTGACACCGTCCCAACCCGGAAAACAATCATATACTCCTAAAATACTGTAAAATTTGATAATAATCGGTCTGGTTTGTTCGTCTAATAAAAATCGATACAGATCACAAACAGAAGGACAGCCATACAGGTGCAAATGTGACACTAATGTTTTCGTACTTTAGGGGTCATGAAACGTCAAAAAAACGTTAAAGTAATTTCATCATTTTGCTAAAAAGTAGATAATTTAATAAAAAAATTAAAGTAATTCCATTAATACGTTGTACGTTTGTCGAAAAAGGAATTTAATTCTTTTTTAACGAAAGCTTCTACGAGTATATCAATAAAAAAATATTATCGATAAGTGCCTACGTATTTCGAATAACTCTTCAGGTGTTATGAAAGTTATTTAATGATGTTTATACGTTTTTGTCAAATTTTTGACGAGGTTAAACTAAGTATGTAATTTTGTATGATATTAGAATCCACCACTTACCCGGAAATGACCGACATTCAGGCAAGACTTCCATTATTACGGGTACAAAGTCGAATTAATGATATGCATTGATTAGATTAAGAAAAAACTTTTGATATCCTAAAATTACAGCATACAAATCCGTCTGCTATTATTCTCTAATCTCCATCCCCAACAACCTACTGTAACTACCGATCATTTATCCGCACATAGCTTGAAAGATGACCTACACAACTCTGACCTATTGGTGCTAACCTATTCTGACTGATATGATCAGACTGTTCGAGAAACTTACGAACAATAAGACATGTTCCTAACAAAACAGTTTTTTGCATTTTGACAATTACTGAATCATTTAAGTGTAAATACTACAAATTCTCAACTAAATTATTTGGTACTACTCCTATATGGAGATAAGTAAAGTTAGAATTGAAATTTTGGTGGTGGTATGTCTGTATTATATTATGCGTGTTAGGAAATGCAATGTTAATGAGAATGGCTTCTTTGGCGTATTTCTTTATAAGTCTGATATCTGGTCTGTGTACTGTAATGTTTCTGTCTGCATTCCAGTATGGCTTGTATTCGGTGTTTTCAAGGAATGTAAATATACAAAGGTGTCGTATCTTGGATTAAGTCTAGGTCTCTCAATCGTTTCTTATATTTGGATATTCGATTATATATTTTCTGTAATTAATAGTACTAGTTACTTGGTCTTGAATAGTAAATAAAATCACTTCTGCTTCGTCATATAAACTTAATTTTTTGAATCAAATCAATGACATCTTCTTGTTAACGTGTTTCGTCTAGCTCTTCGAAGAATTTTCCATGCAGTTGTTATTGCTATTATGTTGTTTAGATTGTGGGGTGTGGAGATTTCTTTGGTATTGTGTAGATTTAAGGGTGTGTGCTTCAAGTCCGGCCTTGCTATGGCACGAAATAGTTCGTTTCTTTTTGTGCGTCTCAGGAAATATTTCTTCCATTCCGAAATTTGTCTCTTGTATAAAATCTACAAATTCTGGAATCCCCTTCCTACGCTCTGTCTTGGTAATGAAAATCTCTCAATTGATGACTTCCGATGATGTCTTCTATATTGTGTGAATGATTTTCTTGTTGAGATGTTTAAATTTTCAAAATTAGTTTTTGAGCATTTAATTATTCTCAACGAATATGTTAGGACTAGGGATGAAAGACCGAATGTATTTAGTGCTTTCTTTAAATTCTTTCCGTTTAACTGTGTCTTCAAAATTAATTTTAATTATTATTAGGATCCACCACTAACCCGGAAATGACCGTGATTCAGGTAAGACTTCTATCATTACGGGTACTAAGAAACTAAGACCTAGTAACGACATGCGTTGATTAATTTATAAAAAAAAAACTTTTTAATATTATTATTATTGAAGATATATATTAAAAGGACGCAGTTAAAACCTTATTTACGGGTTTTGATTTTTATTGCTTCTACATATTTAACATAACTGGGCCACGAAAAATAGATGCCCTTATTTTTTGGCATTTTAAAAATTTCAGATCCTGTGCATACGACATTTTTGTATAATTGATACATAACATAAAGGTCAAATCATAAAGAACAAAAAAGCATACAATTATCATTCATGAAATGAAAATCACGCTATTTAGCAAAATATAATACGCAACAGTAAAAATGTTAGTATATGAAGCAATCAAAATAAAAAACCCATTACTCATTTCACATATTTTCAAATGAAAATCACGCGATTTAACAAAATATGTCCAACTTTAAAAATGTTACGATATGGAGCAACCTATTGTTCACCTGCAATAGTATCAATCAACTGCGTCATAATTGATTATATTTACACAATATTCCATTTACCTTTAGGTATTCTGTATCTATGTATATATACTTATCACGTAAACAGGTGATTAAGAGTACCTATCTTTACTTGTTACGACGAATAAAAAGAAGCAATGATATAAATAAAAGAAAACGAAGCTTTTGTTAAACAATGCTACAATGATTGGCTTCGCGACACTTCTAACCGTTGCTTACCAAATCTCATTGGGTACATCGTTCATTGTGCCCCGAAGGGCCTCAGGTACAAACCTCTCTTATTAATAACTACACGTCAGTTAAAAATCTAATTGTTCGCTCCCACAATAACAAATAACGTGATTTTCTATTTGTAGGATGTGCCATCAATCTATCCAGTCTGGACCCTGAACCCATCGTTGTCTCAACCAGTAGCTACGAATTCTTGTATCCCGAGCTAGATACAAGCACGATAGCGATAGCAGCAGATGAAACTGTAGTTATATCGTGTCCTGGAGGTAAACTAACCTTAGGGTCAACAGAGGCGGGTACCACGATTACGGCAACTTGTCAATCCGGTACCACATTCACAGCGGACGGAGACACTTTTAACTTCAATCAAATCACGTGCTCAAGAAACCCATCCCACACAGCCCGATACACGGGAAATTCCTGCGAAGCCGGTGGTCGAGAAATTGAGATCGGATTTATATTAACCGACGACAGTTTTGCCCGACAAATATTGATTTGTTTCGACGAGAAAAACCTAAATCCGCTTTATTCCACATACGATTTGACGAGGTCAATTGGGGCAAGCGAGAGTGACGTTAGCAGACCTAGTTTCATTGAAGATGATTTCTACAACCTTCCGGATAAAGTAAACGACTTGTATGTACGTGGTGGGCAAAAAGAAACCATTAATGGTCTTTTGGGTCTTCCTGCCGATTCGACCAAGTACATAGAAGACTCTAGCAATTATTATTTTGCACGTGGTCATCTTACAGCTAAGGCTGACTTTGTTTATGCTCCTCAACAAACTGCTACTTTCCACTATGTGAACGCGGCTCCACAATGGCAAACTTTCAACGGTGTTAACTGGGAAACTGTTGAGGATGATGTTAGAGATTATGCAGACACTAATGGATTAGATTTGAAGGTGTATACAGGCACCTATGGAGTATCGACTCTACCACATGAAGAAACGGGTGAAGATGTGCCTCTATATTTGTATGTAGATGACGACGGAAACACCGCATTGCCGGTACCGGAACTCTATTGGAAAGTTGTGTACAATCCTGCAAATGGACAAGGGGTTGCTCTTTTGGGTATCAACAACCCGTATCAAGAAGACGTGGACAAGAGTGTTATCTGCAAAGATATTTCTTCGTCTATTAAGTGGCTAACCTGGAAAGCCTCGGATCTAGACGCCGGATATTCATATGCGTGTGCTGTTGATGACTTCAGAACGAAGGTTTCTTATCTGCCTGAGTTCAAAGTCACAGGGTTGTTGGTGTGATTATCTTAAATATTTTGATTCTATAACAGATACAATTGTAACAAAACAAGAATTCCCGTACAAATAATGATAACATTCAACACTATTGTTTCTGCTATATCGAAACTTATAAATCTAATTAAAATACAAGTATTTTTTTCAACATGATTTCATCTATTTCGTTTAGGCCTAAACACTCGGTGTTCAGTTGTATCCACTCTACGCTGCCTTGAGAGACCATTAAACAATGTACAAAGGCAAAAATAGAAGAACGAAATATGTCACTTTTATTAAATATTTTAACACTGTATAAAATCAACAAAAAAAAAATAGTTTAACGAACACGATTTTCACTAACCAAAAAGAAAGTATAATGTACAAAATATTATCACTTTTTAATATTTTTCTTCAAACGCGGCAGCTTTGTATCCCGTCATTGTCTTGGTAATAACTACCCCCACTTTTTGGTTTCTGGGCCCAGTAGAATTATCAACATTAATTGCACAAGTAGTATCTAAAAACAATAGTAATAAGAAAAACGTCTTCAACACAACTACGCCCACAATTTACTTTGTTTATTATATGTTGTTAAGGCAGAATTTTCTTTCTTAAAGTTGATGGACGTTTCTAACACAACGTTACGAAGAGTTGGGTCCTGTTCTTCGGAATCATAACACAGCTCAATGTGAATTTTTTTTAAATACCCTGTTTGACAGCGTTTTTCTATTATTTCTTTGCGATAAAAGTGTGACAGTTCCAAAAGTATTATTGCTTTTTCCAGTTTATTCTTAGACATTGTTAAGGCAGCTCTAGCTTCGTATTTTTTCAAACCAGGGAATCTCATAATTAATGATTCCATGTTCTCACTTCTTCTGGTGTTTGACAAAGCATTAATCTGAAATACAGCAATGTTATTAAAATGTAAAAGGAATGAATACTTTTAACAGTTAATGCAAAACTGATTGTATATAAAAGATAAAAGTCCATGGTTAGTAGATGGTAGATTATCTCACTTTGGTTAAAATTAGTGATTTTTAGGCATATTCTAGATGATCAAATATGCAAAGTTAAATCCGCACGTACAATGTAGTAATATAATTATAACTAACAATAAGATAAGCCATTTCTATTTATAAATGACTCACAGTTAATCTTTTCAGTTTAAAAGTTTATTCGTTGCAAAAACTTGACGCAATTGTCAATCCGTTTCATCCAGTACATTGACATCTTCTCGATTGGCAAAAAAATTACACTGAAAGATTCAGATTTATACGTCCTGTTCTCACTCTCCCCACGATACAAACGAAAGAAAAATGGAGGATAAGACCAACATTCGCACTGAAAACTCTATCATCTTTAAATATTCACAGACCTCAAAAATGGCAAATTTTCTTAGTCATAGTTCCATATTTTCGTTTTTAATCATTTTCATCGAGTCTATAACGATTATTATCAAAACTACATTGTAAGAAAGTTCACTTCCGAGAGCCTAATTTAGAACAATCTATGTGCTCCTTGAACCGAGTGATAATTGATTCTCTTGTCTAATACATTCTTGATTACAATCTTTCGAGTTACTACGGAGGGTCGGTTGCGAAGTGTAAACGATTTCATGCCAAGTTTTCTGAAATTAGTGATTGCAAAAGTGAAGTCTGTTGACTAATAAATTGAGAGTTACCATTATCTGCTAAAAACAATGTTGGAAAGCAATATTGAAAAATGAATTGTAAAAATACTAGCAACTTTCTTGACTGTGTTGAATTTTATTCGTATTAATGTTTTTAATTATCACAAGTGTACTTTTTTTCTAATTTCTTTTTAAACTACATCAAGAGGTCTTCTATGAAAGAAAACAATGGGTTATCCATTGCTCTCGCATAAAGTGCAAATCTTTTAAGTAGCAAGCAAATTCATACATGTCCATTAAATTTTGATAATAATTTCTATAATAAATAGTTACATTATACATCAATATAATGATTTCATTGTTCATCTTAAACATATTTCCTTGCAGAAACCGCTTTACAAAAGGGAATTTTTATTTTTGTTTAATTTTTGTTAGTGACAAAAACCATTAATATTTTATACACGTTTTATAGAAATATTTAGTAAAATTAGTTCATTCTGAATGTTTAACTACATATTTAGGTAATTCGTTTAATATCAATGTTTTTTGTTGATATTTAAGCTGGCAACAATAATTACATTTCTGACACACTTCATAACCTTAAAAGATGACAATCCAAATTTTTTCAAGAAACTGTAGCTTATTATTATAAATGCTGATTACCAACCAAGTTACTAAATTTCCATGCCTTGCTGTGGTTTTAAAAGCTCCCGAATGAATCATAACGGGTGTACAATAAAAATATATTTGAAGCAGGCGATGAAAATCCTATTGTTTATGGCTTCTTACTTCCTGAGCGTAAGCAAAGGAAGTATTGTAATCGAATCCGTCGGCCGACTATCTACTTTTACTTTTTTCGACCTTTCATAACCCTAGAATACGAAGAAATAGGTCTCCCGTTTCCTTCTGTCTGTCCGTTTGTCCGTCTGTCTGCGGACCCCGATTTTTATTAAACAGATAATCTTCGAAAGTACTAGGCCGATGGTCCTACGTCACTTCAAAATTGTACATAGTAAATTGGTTTTAAATAGTATAAAATAATATAGTCCTACACGTGTAGTTTATGATTCCGAATTGACTTTTTACCCGTAACGTCCAGTTTTTTTGGAAAAAAAATCAAGATTATGACACAAAATTTCGCAACTTAATTTTGAATCTGCAAAACCGAATGCTTAGAAATCTTGCAGATGGTTTACAGTTATGATAACCATGATAAGTTTTTATTGAAAATATATTTACTTATCCCCTCCAAAAAATTGATGATGTCAGCTCAAAATTTTGCCCAATAAATCCTATCTAAAATGTACAAAATGTGATGAGTCTGTACTTGTGATTTATTATTCCATTCATATTTTTTGGATTTCCATATACAGGGTGACTCAAAAAAATTAATGAATGCGTCAATGCATTTTATTGATTAAATCAGAAACTACAAAACCCAATGCTTTGAAATCTTGGAGACGTTTTAAAGTTATCATAAGAATGGTAAATTTTTGATCAAAATGTATTTGCTCATCCCCCCTAAAAGGAGCGAGGAAAGTTCTCTCGAAACAACTTTCGACCAATTTTTTACAATGTAGAAAGAGTCACATCAAAACAACTTTCTGTAAAACAATACGAACATATTCTGCATAATTCAGTCGAACATTCTGTAGGATTTGATATCATCTGTTACATTTTGAATTATTGTTAAACAATTATAACATTAAATTTTAACAAATACTAGAAACCCCTTTTTGTACACACAAAATGAAGGGTTATTTTACTAATTTGGCACATTTTCTAAAACACCTTCATTGTTATTATTAATTTCATTAATTTTGTGTGCTATTTTATTCTATTCTATTCCGGATCATTTAAGGGTGTTGCATAAATTTGATTTATAAATGTAGATCTAGGTGACCAGTTTGATGTATTGCGTTGCGACTAATGATATATATATAGTGGTAACATTCTGCCAAAAAAATCTATTGTAGCTCCAGTTATGTGAGCAGTAGCACCATCCTGCTGAAAATAACCATAAACTAACTCATCACCAATTAGTTGATTTTAAAATGGGGTTAAAATTTCGTCTGGGTATCTTGCAACATTTATGTTTCCTGAAAATATCATTTATCTTATTGTTAAAATACTAAGAAACTCTTCACCATAAAAAAAACGGACCAATAATTCTGCGTTGGCTAATCGCAGACTAAACGCCGACTTTCTGGGAATATTGAGATGACTCAATGAAAAGTGTAGCCACTAAGAAGAAAGTATGATTCAGTGAAAAACGTTTTAGCTAGAGTATTTAGAAACCATTGACAGCATTGAACTCTTTGAGGAAAATCAGTTGACACTATTCATGTATGGATATGAGACAATAGAGAAATAGTGAAAATCTTTTTTTTATAATCGTATTACAGATACCAACAGACAAATCAAGTTGTTGTGATAAATAACAGATAAAAGTACTACAGAGAATTTTTCTCGAAACTCTTCCATACATTATCTAATTATTGTCAAGTTCCATCTACTTCTATACCGTTTCATTAGTTAGACATACTAATAAGAGATACTTTGTGTTGTACAGAAAAAGCCATTCTTGGTAAAAATATCGTTAAACAGTAATCACACACTAGTTCTGCAAATACCTGATTTTTATCAGACAAAGAAAACAAAAAAAAAAACACCTGTTATAAATAAACGGCAAATAATAATTCCAAGGGCTGCTCCAAATGTATTTATATTGTACACCCGTTAGTTCGACAAAACTTTGAAATATTAATGGAGATAACATATCAAAGTTTTCAAAAATTTTCTCATCACCAATATATACCAAGTAAAACATGGATACAATGAGTGAATGAAATGCTAACTACTTACAAAACAACCGAAACATAAAGGTGATAACTTCTGTGGTCAACTCCAAACATAAAATTTCTCCTACAAAGAGGAATGACAATATTAGATAAGTCCACACCAGTTGATTCTTATAACGTGTAATCAACCCAAATTCTCTTCTAAATGGCATTAGGTTTTAACTCTCTTTCTCAATCCTCGTTGTAAGTACATAGTAGATAGCGAGAAGTTTGCTTGAGAACCTTATTGGTTAAGACCACCCAACACTCCCAGTAGTAACTAGAGAATGACTTTCGTTGATTATACAAGTAGTGGTATCTAATTATGGCATTTTTTAAGTCCCTTGTAAAACCCATCAATCGCCGCCACTGGTACGAGCAATCGGAAACAAGCTATATTATGAAATTGTACACCCCCCAAATAAACAGCTGCTGATTTTACTTCGTTTTATTTTTTTTCGATGTACCTATATATAAATTTCCAAGTTTCGATTAACGTTAAAATTACCGGCGCGTTAAAACCGTTATCAAGGCGCCAAATTTAAACGCACTTATTACATCTGCGATCTTGGAAATAACCTAACTATTCACAGCAAATTAATATTCCAATCATACTTACCTTAATAATTTTTGGTTGAGTTTTCAACGTGTAGAAATTACCAGAATTTTCATACTTCATTTCTGTTTGTGTCCTCCATGGCACACACAACACTGGATTGAGAAATATTGGTTTTCTAGGATTCTTAATGCCTAACATTCTTGATAGTGTTACGAACGTACTTCACCAGTTATTTTTCTTTAAAATGATAGATCACTAACACAACAACGATCTCAATTTAACAGAATTTTTGCCACTACCGAAATCACTGGATAAACTCCAGATTCTTCCAGCACTGTTGCCTATATCAAACGGACTGTTGTGTGTAGGGTAGGGATAAGAAGAATTCAAATTGAAAATTGTTACAATTCACTAATATTATATTCTGTTATTATATAAAAATGTACAGAAGAATAGTTTGTATTTTTATTTAATGATACTCTGGACTGTTTTCCTTCAGTAACTAATACGTTTTCTATGCAAACATTGCAGACCAACACCCATTGACTCAAAAATACTTGAGACTCGAGTCTGCAGTTTTCGATATCGTGTTATGTAACAGATAACTAGTGATCAAATTCGCAAAGTGTTGATTCCAGTGCATATCGCTGCTACTGATACATATTAACAATAAGGCATGTCTCAGCCATGAAATTGCAATTAATCACTGTGGAACTAAGTACCTATAGAAGTTGGAAAGGACACAGATTTTAACAAAAAACTGTAATGTAATGATGTTAATAATTAATTAATAGAATAACATTTCATTTTAATTTTAGTATTTCCAAAAATGGGTTTAAAGACTTTAAACAGCAGTTCAGTTTCTTAGATAAAGTTAATTTTGCATTTTTTTTTCATGATAACGCCTATAAGTATGATCCAAAATAAAAAATAGCATTGTGTTCACAGCCACAGTTTAATACTTTTTTGCGATAACGTCATTAATTTTATAAAAGGGATGGGTGTATAATTTTTTTTTTTTATAACCGTTAAAATATTGTACTTACTCATTTTGCCAAAAT